GGGGGGGGAGGAGTGGGTCGAATGAGGGGAAGGCGGCCTTGAGTTGCTGGGCGGTGCCGTTGTGGAATGCCTTGGTCAGCGCGTCAGCCATCTCGCGCTGAGGTCGCAGGGCGGCGTTGATGGCCGACATGGCGGCAATGGGGACCTCGTTGAGCACCGTCTTGTACTCGGGCAGCACCAGACGCCGACGACGGCGGTCCCGCTCGGTGTCCGTGCGGAGCCGGGCGATGTCCGCCCCCGCCTGCAGCAGCACACGGATGGTGCTCTTGAGATGGGGAATCTCGCTGGTGGCTTTGTCCTTGTCTGCCGCCTCCGCAGTGTCGTCGTCCAGCCGCTGAATGTCCTTATCGAGCCATTGGGCAGCAGCAGCGAGAGGCGTGTCATTGGGGTGAATGCATGGACACCAGGTGTGCAGCCTCCCTCTGTTGATGTCAGCAGCCGTGAGGCGGCGGCACAGGGAGGCAGCCACGGTGGGACCCGCAGTCTGCCGCGCAGTGCAGTGGCGTCGCGTTACGGTAGTCCACTGCCGTCATGTCCGCCCCATTGGCCACCAACAGGCCGATGTAGCTGTCGATGAAGGACTGGGACCACACGGGACGGGTGAAGGCCACCCAATGCACCGGATTGCCGCCATACCCTGCATCAGTCTCGGCTGCGAGGGTGGGGGCGCGATCGAGGAGTTGCTGGTAGAAGGACAGCAGGGTGGCCTCGTGGTCCTCGGTGGGCCGGTCCGTCTCCAGTGTCCATGGAACCCGCATCACCTGACGGCCCCCCAGCTGCAGCCCAGCCTCTGCCATGAGCAGATGGAAGGCCTTCTCGTTGCATGCTTTGATGGCCACGCGGATGGGCGTGGCGCCCGGGCAGTCAAAGCCGTCCTCGTCGGTCGGGATGGCGTTGATGTCCGCACCTTCCTCAATCAGGCTCCGCATGACGCCCTCCTGCAGGCCGCGGGTGCGCCACAGCGGCAGAGCGACGGGAACGCGCCGATCATCGCCGTCTGCTGCCCAGATGGACGGGATGCGGTTGTCCGTGAGGTTGTCGATGCACAGGGGCAGCAGCGGAAAGGGGGCGAAGCGGGTCGTGGTGCGGCCCTTCACCCGCAGCAGGGGCTGCACATCAATGGGGTCTGCTCCCTGCTGCTGAATGAGGCCCGTCACCTGGCTGACTCGGGTGAAGCTGCGCGAGAGGATGCCCGCAGCTAGTAAATTGCTGGGTGGTCGGCCGGGGACGACTCGTCCAGGATGATGATGCGAGGGGGCAGCCCGCCGCCACCAGCACCAGGTCCAGTCGTTCCGCCTCGCACACAAGCGCCTCCACCTGTTCCTTCTGCCACATCTCCAACCGCCAGGTATGCTTGGAAGACTGGCCGTAACACTGAGCCTAACACTGAGCCTGCTGCGTCCGACCCAGCCGAGGGGCAGAGGTCTGCCAGCCGATGAACCAGACATCACCACATTGCGGCCACTGCAGCATGACAAACAGCAAATGGACATCAACATCATCCGCCGTTCTCAAGACTTGATGGATGTGGTCATGTGTGGCTGTTCTGGTGACTGACGTGTCCATGCATACCTTTGGTACTGTTGCGGGCCCATCATGGTGGATCCGGCGTGTGTGGCAACCGGCAAGGAAATCGACCACTCACTCAGTCAATCGGATGGATGGATGGATCTATCACGGCAGCACGTACACCGACCTGAGAACGGGGGACCAAAGAGAAGAGAAGAGAGCATGTTGGGCAACATGTGTCTGATGGTGCTGAGCTCTCTGCGTCGGTATGTCTGGCGTGCGCTTACTGCGTACCGCTGATATCAATGCGATGCTGCTACAGTACACCGACATCAGACTCTCCATTCACCTCCAACTCAATCAGCTCTGCCGCTCTGCCGTCCGTCGGTATGATTCTATGGCGAAGATGATGACGTCAGTCAGGCTGAGGCACCAACAGGGCTCTGCTCGCCGAAACCCGAACCCTGAAAGCGAACCCTGAAACCCGAACCCTGAACCCTTTAGGTCCCTTAGGCGCGCAAACGCTGCATCCACGCCACGCCGTCCCCTCCATCCCCATCTGTGATGGACACAGCTGCCATCCTGGCGGCCGATAGCACAGGTACGTAACACAGTGAGGGCAGATACGAAGTGTCGGCCATGTCATTGCAGTCGTCTGGGATTCGGTTCGCTTGTCTGTTGATGCAGGCGCGGGTGGCCAGCACAGTTCGACCGCGTTGCTGGAGGCGGTAGACAAACTCAGGGCGGTGAGCGTACACAGACAGCTGGAAGGGGAAGGATGTCCGCCTCTCTATACATGCCGTCCTTGCTTTGTATGCAGCTTAGATCCCAGACCGCCCATGCAGAGCAGCTGCTCACCGACGCAGTCGATGCACAGGCACGCACACACAGGAAAGATCAACCAAACTGTCAGCCACGGGGCAGCGAGGACAGAGCGTGGCTGCGTGTGTGTGCGTTTCATGCAGGGCCTGTCGGGTGACAACCTGGCCCTCATGCAGACGAGCCTGTCGGCCGCATACGGTGACGCTATGGGGCAGCTAGACGCCATCGCACAGAAACAGGGAGCAGAGGAGGTCAGCACAACCATTCATTAATCGACAAAAAGGCACGAACAGGGAACAGAAGACAACTGCCTGGTGGTTTGGTTGTGGTGTCCGTCTGTGTCCACCTACCGTCAGGGTGCTTCGGTGGAGCCGGCTGTACAGCAGGAGGATCATTCGGTGGAAACAGACACGCAGGTGGGGGATCATTGATTGCGACACAGCGACGCCACACACACACCCCACAAATGGTGATCACCGGTATCTGCTTGTGTGTGTGTGTGTGTGTGTATGTGTGTGTATGCGTGTTTGTGATTTCATCCCAGCATCGGCAAGATGACGGCCTGATGTTCAGCCTGATCCATCGTGCGAGTAGCGCGGTGCCTTCGGACCAGCCGTCTAACTCAACACTACAGCAGTCGACAGCGGTACGCACGTCCGATCTCAGACACATGGGGCCCTTCCCTTCCCATCTTGGTGCACCTACCTGCAGGCGTCGACCACTGATGGGAAGCACTCAGGCGTGCGTGTGGAGGATGCTAACACATCTGCTGGCGAGCGCAACACAGGCGACCCCGTATCGCGAATCTTCGACCAGCTCGGTGGGTTGGACTGGGAGGTGCCAGACTGCCAGCGCCGCCCAGGGGGTCCCCCACTGAGTCGGCTGCAGCAACTCCGCCTGCAACTCGCTGCTGGTCACACCGATGAATGAATGCATCACCTGACAGCGCCTCGATGGAATGTTCTGTGTGTGAACGTGGTGTGCAGGTGGGGTCGGTGCTGGTTTGTCGGGGTCTCAGCACGGAGGGGCAGGCAACACTGCGGCCAAGGTGAGGCAGGTGCCTTCATTCGCAAACAGACACCAAAAACTGTTGTGCGTGACTGTGTCTGTCTGTCTGTCTGTGTGTGTGTGTGTGTCAGGAGTACGGCCGGCCCTGTCTGGCTGGTCTGCCCCCGGGCGTGATGGGGCACATGGGTTCCTTCTTGACCACCATTGACGCCACACGCCGCCTCACGCACCTCAGTAGGGAGATCCACGGCAAGGCCACCGACGAGACCTTCGGCATCTACCGCACCTTGGTCGTGACCGAGGACGAGTACGACACATACGACAAACTGGAGGAGGAAGCGTGCGACGACACACACATCAAATGGCTATTCTCTGAAACCACATCGCCATCTCAGCGGCTGGTGGGTGGCTGGGTGGGAAGAGGGAGTGGGATGCATGCATTTGATGTGATGTGGCGGTGGCTGTGCTCGTGCGCCTCTTTCATGTATGTCTGCAGGGCAACATTCACGCGGCACACGTGAGGGCGCCCAGCGTGTCGGTGGCTGTGGCGAAGGTCCTGGAGGCAGCCAGTGACACGCTGGCGGAGCTGCACGTATCGGGCGGCTGGATGGCGTTCCAGCAGGATGGAGGCGGCAAGTTCAGCCCCCGGCAGCGTATCACCTTCCCCAAGCTGGCGCACATGAGCATCCGATCGAAGGCGTGGTTCCATCACGTCGGGTATGTATGTCTGTATTGACGCCAGCTTCCATTTTGTCGTTCGTTCATTTGGTCCTTGCGTACTCTCTGTCTGCAGCAATCGATGGAACCTTCCATCGCTGAGGAGCCTCCGGAGCGTCGACTTCCCCTTTCCCTCCACAGCCGTCGTGCGTGTGCTCGAGACGGCGCCGGAGATACAGCAGCTGGAGGCCGCGCCCATCATCTTCACCGACCAGGAGTGGGCTGACTTCCCCGTCGCCCTCGGCAAGTGCCCCCACATCACCTCCATCACCGGCCTGAAGATCGACTTCGACGACGTGGGTCGCCGCGCGAACCAGCTCAAGGACGCCCTCGAGCCGCACTGGGCGAGACCATGGCGTGCATCTGTGCGCAAGAAGCTGGGCTTCGTTGTGCCCCGTTTGTCGATCGGTGCGCGGCGTTGGGAGGGCGGAGCCACGACAGAGACCTTCCGGTGGTGGGCCGTGGCGGTCGGCTGTCATCTCGAGTGGCGCACCCGCGACAACTCGATGACCATCGACTGCAGCAGTGCTGACGGTGTGAGTGCCCCTGTGCTCACAGCGCCCGACAAGCTGTACGGCCAGATCGCTGCACAGCTGGCGGCCAAAGCGACCGAGGTGAGAGGAGAAAGAATGATAAGGCATGAGGGATCCATCTGGCAGGGCGCGCCGCGTTGTGTGTTGTGCTGTGTCAGGTGGAGCTCAAGCTCGGCGGCAGACCTGTGCACAAGCTCGTTGGCGACATGCTCGTCTTCGCCCACGCCAAGACCCTCACCGTGCGCGTCAAGCACGGCGTGAGTGCCGCAGCTGTGGTCGAGAGCATCCCCACTTGGCTGCCGGCCCTGCCAGGCCGGCAGCAGCCGATCCGGCGCTTCCCGTCAATCGAGCGCTTGATCATCTGGCTTCCCTCCCTCCCTACCACTGACCTGCGTGGGTTTCCCAGCGCGCTGAGTGGGCTGACGGGCACGCTCACATCGGTCAAGTCCGTGTGGTTCCGAGGTGCGTGTAGCTTAGCTCTGGCGTGTGAGGTGCTGTGCTTCCTTCCTGTGAGGCAGCTGGATGAGGTCACGTTTTCCACGCCTCCCACATCGCACGGTTTTCCCGGTTCCGTGCCTCCGATGTGGTCGAGGGGAATCGCACAGATAAAGCACATTGAGGTGCAGAGGGGAGAGAGGGGAGGCCTAGGGGGGGATATGGCATGCTGCAGAAAGGCCGACCTGCTGGCGCTCATTGAGTGCGCTATGGCAGCCCGGCCGTCACAGCTCACTATTGACGAGGTGCTGGTGTCTGCCGATGAGTTGAAGGGTGAGGACAGAGCGGCCAAGTTGAGTGACCTGCGCTCGTTTGCGTGGGGGTGCTGCGAAAGAGTGCGTGCGCACTATACGATGACGGAGAGCAAGAGTGCGCTGAGTCAGGAGGGTGAGTTCCTGCAGCTGAGCCTGACTCTGGTGGCCAAATGAGGGAGAGAGGGGTGGCAGACAGACAGACAGACCATTATTGTACAGTGGGTGGGTGGGTGGCTAGCTGCATGTGAGTGTGAGTGGGGCTGACGGCAACGAGAGGTTTTCCCGCTCCTCTCAGTGGCCGATGGGTGCCCCACACGTGTGTGTGTGTGTGTGTGTGTATGCATCTGTCTGTCTGTGTGGAGGAATGCGTCCACGCGAAAAGTGTGTGCAGCAGCTATTTGACCGACCATGACTGACCCGATCCGGTGGTGTTAGCAAAAATTATACGTAATCTAGTTGGTGTTTGTCCTTCCGTCCATTCTTCGCTCTCTGTACACACAAGCAATATGTCCATCCATCCATTCTTCCATCCAGGCCAAGAAAGATACCCCCGTGATTACACAAACACTCTTGTCTGACGACCAATCAACTAATATATAGTAGCCACTCTTACGGAGACATTTACATAGAGGAAGCGGCACAAGACAGACCCTCGAATGAGACGAATTAACCGCACCAACACCACCCACCCACCCCACGCACGCCCACATCCGTCCGTCCGTCGTGATGATTCCCACGCGGCCCCAGCACCCAAGCCACACACATTCAAACACTCCAGCCACCCGCCCAGCCAGCCAGGTGGGTACCAGCTAGGTGCTGCCGGTGGCCGTGGCGAATGCGACGGCATATTCCTTCTCGTCGGCCTGGCTGACGGCCACGTCCACGACGCCCATGGCCATACCCTTCCGCCGCCCCTCATTGAGTAGCTCCACATAGGGCTGGCCCGACGGACGATTCAACACCTCTATGTCCTTCAACCGAAGACCATCTACACACACACACACACACACAGGGTGGAGAGATGCACGCGTCATGTCACGTGCGCGAGTGTGTTGGATGGTCTCATTAGGTATATGGCTGACTGACTGACTGACTTGGGTGTATGATGCGCAGCCCCACGCCGAGGGCCTTGGACACGGCCTCCTTCGTGGCAAACCGCTTGGCCACAAACGACGCCGCCAACTCCAACCTGCAGCCGCACACACATCACATGGGGAGGACAGGCAGGACGTCCATTCGCTGCAAAGCTTTGCCCTTTTCCGTGTGTGTCATGACTGACTGACCACTCGTCGTCGGTGAGGTTCCGTCGGTCCTTCCTGGTCTTCCTGAACTGGCGGTAAATGTAGTGTTCGCGGGCGGTGAAGATGCGGCGTGTGAAGCGCTCCTCGGCACGGCTGAGGGCCCGCTTGACGCGGGGGATGAAGACTATGTCAGTACCCACACCCACCACATACGTGCCGGCCTTGGAACTCCTGTACACACACACAGCGCAAACGAGGAATCGGTGCTCCTCTGCATGCGCTATGTGCGCTCTGTGTGTGTGTGTGTTTCGGCTACTTGGGTCCCATGGGTGTCTCGGAGTACTGTTTGATGACCTGTTCCTCCCGGTTGACCATCATCGACCAATCTGAGTCACTCTGGTCGTCATAACTGAGGGACGACAGACACAGACACAGACTCAGACACGCGCAGACAGGTCAACGGCGCATGAGTTGGGGGGGCGGCTGGATGGCTTACCCGAGTAGGTGGAGTATGCCGTGTATGACGAGTAGCGGCAGCCGTTCCCTCACTGTAAATGTCTTGGCCATCGCGCCACTCACACCCCTTCACACACAACGCGCACAGCAACAGACGTCCTCTGATCTCCTGTTCCTGTCTCTGTGTGTGTACTGCAGTGTATCGACCCACCTTTCGGTGCTGACGAACTCCCCATTGTCCTCGAGCTGCGCCTCCATTTCTGCGCGGTCCTCATCACACCGCTCCTGCACATACTCTGCAAGCCCACAGAAACACACACGCGGCCACGGCATGCATACGGAACACCCCTTCTATGTGTGTGTTTGTTGCTATCTGTCGCCGATCGACCAACCGGCAGAAATGAATATATCGCCCAGGTCCAGGTCTTCCGCACTGGTGACCTTGGGCAGCGAGCCAGGCTCGATGTCGTCAAAGCAGCGGAAGGACAAGATGTCAGTGGGGCGGTCCTTGGCACGGAAGTCACGATTCAAATGCTGCACGATAGATAAGGACTCACTCATCGGTGTGCATTTCCGCGTCTCATTCATGCGGGCTGGTGTTACCTACCTGCATCCTTTGGTTGTCGACGAGCTCGACGCCGATGTCGAAAGCACTGACACTGACAATCGACAGACAGACATGTCACCAGACAGCGACTTTGAATGAAGGCGGGCGTGGGATGATTGTGTGTTGTGTCTGTCTGTCTGTCTGTCTGTCTGTCTGTGAGAGCCGCCCCCCATGTACCCACCCAATGATATCTCGGATGTGTTTGATCTGCCTCTCGAGGAGACCCATGTCAAGAGCTATCTGCACACGAACGAACAAGACCAAAGAGCTCAAGGGTAAGGTTGGACACATGTGCCTCATGTGCAAAGTGTGCTGTCGGACCTCTCTCTGTGAGTTGGTGAGAGTGATCTCGCCCTCCCCCGCGGCAGCCAAGTCGATGGGCTCCGACTCTTCCACCTCCTCATCACCCATGTGGCTCTCCATCGGCGCCTCATGCACTGCACCACGGTCAGCTATGCGATGAACAGAATGATCTGACAACCACACAAACAAACAGACAGATCCTTCCATCCAACAGACCAGACTCGTTTCCCACGCACTTGGTGCCTCTTCGGCATCATCAGACAGGGCAATGGATTCCAGCAGGTCGATGCCCTTGCCCCGCGCCTCCATAGCAACGATGCGGGACCGCAGCCGCGCCGGCGCACGCCTCAACCTCGGTACGCCAGGACTCACATGATGCGAAGTTGGACTCCGCCGCCTCCAGCCATCCTGCAGTGGCCTGAAGATGAAGCTGAGGCTGAGGCCGTTGGCTGGCCTGATGAAGGAGGACAGCAGCACCACCCCTCCAGCCACCTTCTTGGCCACATTGCAGCGCCAAAACCGACGGCGGTGGAGATCTCCCTCGCCCATCGGATGATGAGATGAAGCCGGCAAACGGCGCGGGCCGGGTTTAGCTCTCTGCGTCGCTCCGTTTTCGGTCTGTCTGAGCTCGCCATTTGCGAGCTTCAAGCCGATCTGTGCCTTTCCTCCGCTTTTGCGTTCTCTCCGGCGTCAGCACAGTGAGTAGGGATGGGTGCGTCATGTGGCTGCCAGACGTCGTCCGTTGACGAGAAGGCGCACATCTCTGCGCCTCGGTATCAGTCGAATGGCTACACCACCAACGGGCGGGTGCCGCCACGGATGCCGGTAGGACGGCAGGAGCGGTACGACAAGCCGCCGTCCGTGGACCCCCGAATCAGCGAGGAGGAGCGTGAGCGGCGGCGGCAGCTGGCACTGCAGGCGGCGGAGAACCGCGAGAAGGAGAACGAGAAGCGGGGCGGGTTGAGCGAGAAGAAGCGCCGTGAGCTCAAGGAGCGGCAGCGGCAGGAGGATGAGATGAAGCGCAAGGGCATGTGGGCGGAGAGAGACCAAAACATCATGAGGATGCTCGACTGATGGACTGATGGATTGATTGACGGATGCGAGGGAGGGAGGGAGGGAGGGAGGGAGG